TCCTAAGAAACAGTGCTGTGTGCTTCTAAGAACCTTGGCATTTACACCATTTAATTAGGAAGCAAGGTATGCTTATAAATAGCTTTTCTACTAAAAACAGTATAGGTAAAACTCTGCTTAGTACCCATTTAATACTGTTAAATATAATTCCACAAAAATATGTATCCAGTGCATGCTTTTGCTTAATTTTTTTTCACACAATATAGTTTGATCATGTTCTTCCCCCTCCCATGATGCATTCCAAACCATCCTCACCTCCCTACCCACCCAACTTTACATTCTTTCTTTCTCTTGCATTTTCTCTCTCTCCCTCCTCCCCTTTTCCTCCCCTCCCCCCCAAAAAGCCCACAAAACCAAAAATCAATAGAACAAAAACTATCAAAACAAAAAGTACATGGTGTTTGTCGGGCCTGCCCTGGAGTGTGGTTAATTTACCCTGTAATACCCTATCAGAGAAAACAACTGACTTCCCCTTTCCAGAAGTTATCAGGCACAAATAGCTTCTTGGTTAGAGTTGGGACTCGGTGTCCACTTCTGTCTTTCAGCATTTGGGCCCCTTTTGTACTGAGCCTGTGTAGGCTTTCCCTCCATGTGCTGCCACAGTCTCTGTCTTGTGCCTGAAGGAGCCTGTAGGGGAAGGGTTTGATGGAGACACACCGTTTAGGTGGAGTGTTCCAGTGTCTCTCTAACTCTCTGCATGTTATCCAGTTATAGTTCTCTGTATTTGTTCCCATCGACAGCAAACTGAAGTGTCTCTGAGGGGAGCTGAGCAAGGTTCTGATCTGTGGGTGTAGCATGCGCTTCGAATTAAAGAAGTTAAAGGGGTCAAAAAACCTGCAGAATTACCTGTGGTACAAAGGAGGGCAAGTAAAAGGAACCATGAAAAAAGAACAGGTAACTTTCTAAAGAGAGGTAGACAAGAGGTAAGTGATTTCCACCGAGAGACGTCTGCAGTGTTGCCTACATGGAATCTGCATGTAGAAAAGGGAAGGACAATGTTTTACCAGATTAAAGCAAGTACAACTTAAAGCAAAGATGGATGCATATGGTGCCTGGGGGAAAGTTGGCAAGATCTATGCTGAGCTCCCCATCCCCTCCCCCTTTTTTCTCCTTACAGTTTAATATTTATTTTATTTCATGTGTTTTGTCTACATATATGTCTGTGCACTGCTTGCATTTCTAGTGCCCACAGAGGCCAGGAGGGGACATTAGATCCTATGGAGCTGGACAGGGATGATTGTGAGCCATCATAGGGATGCTGGAATCAAACCTGGGTCCGTCTTCTGGAAGAGCAGCCAGTGCTTCAAAGTGATGAGACATTTCTCCAGCCCTGGAACAGGCAGGCAGACAGGCAGGCTGGCTTCCTCCCTCCCTCCCTTCCTTCCTCCCTCCCTCCCTCCTTTCTTTCTTTCCTTCCTTCCTTTCTTCCTCTCTTTCTCTATTTAAGATTTATTTATATTATTCTAAAATTATGCATTGTATGTGTGTGGTGTATACATGTGAATTTAAGGACCCATCGATCTCTTGACAGATGTGAGCTATCTGGCACATGTGCTGGAAGTGAGCACATGTCCTGTGAGAGAAAAGTACATGCTGAGCCATCTCTCCAGTTCCCTGTATTGGCCTTTCTGTGACCAAATACTACATTCACTATGAGGTTACTTTTATGTTTGATAGGCACTAGGAAGCCATTTGTAATTTTCCGGTATTACAGTGTCATCCTCAAATCTGTGTCTCAGTGATGCATGAGGTCTGTTTGTTCCAAATCCATATATCCAAAACCTTTTTTGTACACCTGAGCAAACTTACCCTCCATGGATTAACTCAACCTTGGAGGTCAAAATTGCAGTCTGTGTTGTTCATATGAGGGTCTGCACACCTGAGTTAGATTCTTGAGCATTTTTATAATCTCCAAGTCACTATTCTATTACTTTAGGTCCAGTTTGAACCTCGGACCTAAATGCTTCCCTGGATATTCAGTAATTCTTTATGTGCAGACTCCAAAACGAATTCTCTCTGTTCTCAGTATGAGTCATACTTATATTTGTTTTAGGCAAATATTTTGGTTTTTAAAAATATTCCAAGTCATGCAACTGATCATATTTATTCTTTGTGTTGGAAGCCATAATGTTGAAAGCCAAATTTTTATGCCACTTTAAAACCGTAGAGAGCTGTGTAGGCCTAGATCTATCTTTCTTTTTTCCCACTTTTGTTCTTCTGTCATCTTTTCTGGCTGTGTTTAGCTTCATCTCATATTGCTAGGATTTATCTACTTGCTCTGAGTTGAGTAAATTGGTAGAAATGAATACAAACTCCAGCTATGTCCCACTTTCCCAGAATCTTGAGAACCGGTGTGAATTCTGAGCCTGTGGATATTGCTTCTGTCCATGATATGCTATAGAATTTAAACGTTTGGCTGTCCCACTCAAACTTTCGCATCTGGTCCTGCTTGTCTGATAATTCTCTTCACTGTGCAGCCAAATGAAAATGGTCCCAGCAGTCGTAATGCATTGCTAAAGTAGCTGCATAGGCCGGGGGAAGTACTGGCTTGTTGCATGCTGCCTGGTGTAGTCCTTAGTAAATGCTTCCAAAGTGAACAACAAAAGCTAGAGAAACTCAGCAGATTTCCTACACCTTACAATGGGACTTTTCCATAGTGGCTATGTGTTGATTTGTTTTAAGTCGGGTGATCTTAAATTTATTTAGCATTTAATAGCAACCTGCACATCTATACTAGTGATTTCACTGTCTATACAGGGAGTTCACTTTGTTACTGACTCAGCACATCCCTGTAACACAAAATGAGTTATATGTTTGTGCAATGGATAGCAAATATGTAGAAGTAATTGGATGACTGATTAGATTTTATTGAATCCTTGGAGTTGTACTGAGATTACACGTCATGGGGATCTACTGTGAACCCCTCACAAAACGTTGACTTTGGTTTTCCAGGTTCCTAGACACCTCTGCTCCCCTCAGACAGTTTAGTAGCTGCCATAATAGATATGTGTAAAGCACAATGCCCTACTTGGATGATACCAAGCTAAAAAAAAAAAAAAAAAAAAAAAAAAAAAAAAAGCATGGTGTCATCTGGTCCCTCCTGCTTTCTAGGCAAAGTCTTGTCACCTTTTCCTTTGAACTATTTCTGCCTTTCTCTATTTGTTTGCACTCTGTGTCCTTATAGCTGCCACTTGCCATGGTATGCTATGAGGAGCTTTCTAAACATGCCTTACAGCTTTCTGTGGAGAATCTCGTCGTGCACACTGGTGCTGAGGAAGACAGCCCTAATTAATTACATGAGACCTGAATAATGAATCTTCTGTGGGGTTTAACCTGGTAGGGCTTTATGTTGTAAGAGTTTCAACTCTGCACCATTTTATCCCTGATACTCCTTCAAAAGCTTATTGCATTTTAAGTGAGAGTTAGACCTTCATTTGTCCTGATCAGCAAGGCACTGGATCAGGGAAGACTTTTGAGGATTTTAGTGAGGGAAGATTGCAAATAGAAGCAGTACAGGCATTTGCTTGCTTTTATGTATTGGGATATTTTAGCTATGCTTTTTCATTTCTAGAGTGAGAAGTTGCTGGTTATTAAGTTACATGATAGGGATTATTAGACACCATTAGAAACACGTGGTCACTGATGTTATATGTTGTGGGAGGAGCTATCTTTATTGCTAATCTGCTAGAGAAGTTTGATAATATGGTCACTCTATTTATACATCATGTATTCATTTCAAACAACCAATGTATGACTGTATTATTTACCTTAATAATCACTGTTGGATTTCACATAGTCTAAGAAATATAGTTGCTATGTTTTCTATTCTCTCTTAATATAGGTATTTATATTAATAGCATGATTTAATAGGGTGCTTTAAATTATGTTGCATTTTGAACTATATTTAATAAAAAAAATAAGGCATCTTATGTATTGAGCAAGATAATAAGTTTGATATTAAATTAAGGAGTCACCCTTCTGGTAAAATATAGTATTTGACAATTCATTAAAATACATGTGCAAAGCTAAGTCATGCAAAGTAGACCTCAGATGTTACAATGACCTATGCTTTTTAACTGACAATTTACCTGCTCTAGAGAATTTCCCCATAGTTAACACTGCAATGTTGTGTTTGTATTTTGAAACTGTTGGACTTCTAATGATTCTGGTTTGGAACAAAACTATTTGTACCCCTGATCTAATGGCAGGAATCTCTCTGGTCACCTATGACTTGCTCCAAAAATGTAGTTCTGCTGCGTACTGTGAAATTGGAAAATCTGGTCTGTGTGTGTTCTAATGAATGTAACGGTCATTAAGTATATGAGTCTTCTGACGTCGTAATCAGATGTGATTCAGCCTGCTAAGTACCCATGAAGCAACATCTGCTTCACAGAGTGACCTTCTGCTACAGAGTGCTTAGCGTCTATTAGTGGATCATAGCACGAAGCTGCCTTGTTTGAGAGTCACTAAACTAGAGCCGTGCACTGCTGTTTAGCAACTAGCTTGTAATAATTTATTGCAGTTAAATAAAGCTTAAAAAACTCCATTAAATAATTACAGGGATTATATGCATTCTGAAAACCTTTGTGTTCTACCAAAATCACCCATTTAATTTCAGGCTTGGTTTGTTAAAAAAAAAAAAAAAAAATTCTGAAATCTAAAGGCACATTAAGGGAGCTGTCAGATGTTGTTTTCTGTAGGTGTTAATAAAACCAGATGAAAAAAAAAAAGTCTGAAACAAATTAAAACCAAAAGCAATTTTGCCATCTGTTGTATATTAATTAGAACTTTGCGTATCAAGGGTAAACTTGGTCTTTGAGAATGTCACTGAGCACTCACTTAATAGAATAATATGCAAATGTGTTAGGTTGTGGATTTTTATGCAGTTTTTAATTCCAAAGTATCTCTAGCAGCTCTGCAAGAAAGCAGTAGTGTATATGCATACCTGAGGACATGCGGAAGTATATAATGAATTTTCCTTTGTTTCTGTTTTTCCACAGAGCAACCTGCAAACAACCAAGGGCAATCTACCCTGCAGCCTCTGCCACCTTCCCACAAGCCGCACTCCGCGCAGCCTCATCCATCTATCACTTCTCTCAATAGAAACTCCCTGACCAATAGAAGGAACCAGAGTCCGGCCCCGCCGGCTGCTTTGCCCGCCGAGCTGCAAACCACACCCGAGTCCGTCCAGCTGCAGGACAGCTGGGTCCTTGGCAGTAATGTACCACTGGAAAGCAGGTAACACCTATGCGTGAAGTTGTCACATCATTTGATCATTAAGCTCACTCGGGGGCACAGGCAGGGTGTGTGCTACAGTGAGGCACAGTATGTGCTACGATTGTCAACAACGCATATTTTGAAGCTTCTAGAATTCAAAAATAAACTAGTCCAACACTTCCCAGCCCAACACTTCCCAGTGACAGAAACTTATCATAATTATAGCCCCAGTATTTTATCCTTTTTAAGATCAATTCCAGATTGTTAGAAATTTCTTAAGAGCTGGATCAGTGAACTTTTTCATCTTTTCACACATTTTGTTCCTTTCAAGAATTGAGACTCTGCCACCTCAGAAAACTGTTCCTAATTGCAATCTCTTTTTTTTCCACATCTACGGTTATCAGGCAGGTGAGGATGCCAGGAGGTATAAACAATGTCTGTTACTGATAGTTCTTCCAGCCAGCCTGGTCCCACAACTGTGTCCATCCCAAATGAACACCTAGAGACTTATATTAATTATAATACTGTTGACCAATGACTAGGTCATTGGCCAGCTCCATCTTAATTACTAACCCATTTCCATTAATCTAAGTATTTCCATATGGTCTTATCTTACCGGAGAGAGGTCTGGGGACCTATTACTCCTCTGGCATCCTACATGATACTGCTCTCTGCCCACACCTCCCAGAATCCTCCTCATCTCCTAGACCCACCTATCTTGCTGCCCTGTTGGCCACAGTATTTTATTCATCAACCAATAAGATAAAAATATTTACAGAATGACATCTCTTCCATGGCCTATATGTTATCTATGTTTCATAAACTTGTAGGGGATCCTCCTTCCCACTTCTCCACAAGTACAAAGCTTTTGAATAAATCAGATGACCTTGTGTTAAAAAATATCTTTAGTTTCTTGCAATGTGATAGGGATCAGACTCACTCTTTAAACTTCATTCCAATATTATTTCCAAAGACCCTAAAAATACAGGACTGTGGGTCCCCTGAGGAAATGTCCTGTCCCAAGAATACAGAACCCATGACTGAGCTTCCGGGTGAAGACACCATTTACTCATTCTTAGTTCTATTAGAAAATTCTTCCTCATAGGGAACACAATCACTATCCCTAAAAATCCCGTTCTGTGGTTGTGGTCAAACAAGTGGTTGTCTGAACCCTACAGAACCCTACAGAAAGCCACTTTAGCACATTTGTTGATGGTGTCTTTTTAGTCTTATTGCTTCATCACCAAAAATAGTATATGGTGTGTGGTGCAGTGTGTTTTTGAAATTAGGGCTTCTAGCATGGGCCAGGTCCCAGGGTCTGTCTGCTCACATGACAACTTAACTTGATGCAAACTATCCTAAGCTAATCCACTCCATTATTAAGTTTCTCTTGATCCATAAAACTCCAGTTTCTTTCTTCAGGCCCACCAGGACAATTGTCACTGCTTCTTGGTGGTGTGGTGTGGACTAAGTGTCAGGCTTTACCTTAATCTTAGTCATTTCTGGGTGGCTTGGCAGCAAGCACCTCTACTGTGCCGGCTACTTATTTCTTTGATTCACTCACTTTTTATTAGGCTCATAAGAAATGAATTATCACCACATAAAAGTTCAAAAATAGTGGAGTGGAACCTATGAAAGAATGCCCCCTGTTCCCCATCCCAAATGCAGAGCCCATGGCTAAATTCAGCATTTAAATGTGCTGCTGGCTAAAGAAGACTTCTTGTGATGAATAAACTCTTATTTCTTGCTATCCGTTGTGCGATCTATACCAATTCTGCCCTGAGGATGAGCTCGAAGGAGGTTTCCTCTGTTAGTTATCAACAATAAAAATCATTCTGTCTTTTCTCTCACTGTTGACCTAAACAAGGTTACAAAGAATGCTTGCCTTTTTATTTGTAGTGCCAGCCAATAGTAGTTGAGTTTTATTGTTTATTTTGTATTTCCCTCCTGGGAGAAATTAGGAAAAGAAATAGAAACAAAAGTAGGCAAACAGGAAAATTCCCTTCATCCAAGACAAAGAACCGTGTGCATGGATTTTTTTTTTTCTCACAAGGTTATTAGCATGGGCCTAAATTTACCTGGCGTAATTAATTAGTACCCACTGAGCAACTAATCAACACTGATTCACTATTGTCATTTTGTAAATTTTATTAGGAAAAAAGTAATTTTCCAGTTGAGTCATCAAATTGAATATGGATAATTGCATTGTGGTTGACAATAATCGTCTTGACAAAGATTTATGAAATATGTCGAGTTAAATCATCAGAAACGTGTTTAATTTTAGTGATGTTGTATAACACAAATGCCTCAAAAACTGTTAATAAGAGAGTCAGTATTCCTTGAAGTTGTGTGTTATGGTGAAGAAATTTAGAATAAGTTTGAGAAAGATATGGTGTATTCCTGGTATTCCTCATGTAGTAATTTTGGGTGAATGGGATTTCAGAAGGAATGTAGCTGGTTAGAAGACAATGCATCCCTTCCGTGTGTAAAAGCATTCCCAAAGAAAGCAGTTACCAAGGTTTGCCTCCATTTTAAGGTTGTACCATTAATGAGTCATTAATGGAATGCCTAGTTTTGTGAGTGGATATGGGGGTGGGGGCGGCAGTTAATACTATCTCCCTAATAATTAGAAAGACCAATGCATTTAGCAGTTGTGTGTCGTTTTAACAACAACCTAACCTGTAGTGTAGCTTTGTTGTTGTTCTCATTAACCAAGGTTCACCTCTTATGGTGGTGCTAATAAAAAGAAATGATATTTCAACTTGGTGCTAATAAAAAGAAATGGTATTTCAACTTGCAGACACTCGATGAATAACGTTAAGCCGAGAAGTGAAAATTTCACACTGCATGGATGTAACACTACTGTGGTTTCTTTAATAGTCTCACTTGGTTGCCCCTCTCGAGGTGAAGAAGCTGTCTTATTTATCATTGATTTTTTTTTTCTTTTTTAGTTAAGGTTCCCTATTGAGTGTGATTCTGTAGCGCAGTTCCAGCTTTATTAACAACTTTATCCCGACACGCGTCTGCCTTTAACTGTCCTTGGATCTAGGGTACCATTTCACCCTTGGCATTTATGTGCTTTTGCTCACACTTGTTTATTAATCACTTTTCTGTCATTTAAACATTATAAGCTGTAAAATATAAAATTCATTTCTGGGGAGTTACAGGTATTGATTTTCCTTCCTCCTACCTTGTTCTCTTTCTCTTCTCTTCGGATAGAGATACTACTTGGTAAAATTTGCTTAGGATAATCCATGAAAATCGCAGTGACTTGTAAATGTACAGTTTATATGAATAAGCACGGAAAGGATAAATTCCTTTCTGCCCTGTCCCACACGTTCAATATAGCTTTAATTTTGATTTATTAGAAAGCTTTTTTTCCCACTAGGCAAGTTATTGCTTCCACAAAATACATATTTCCTTTCTCTGATGAATTGGTCATTTGCTATTCCTGGAGACAATCGATACTGTCACACATTCTACTTTTCTACATGGTAACCAGCTTTGCCCCTTTTGCAACCTCCACTGTGATTCAGATAGGTGAGATTCACATCGAGAACCCAACTGGTTTAGAAGTTCAAAATGACCTCAATCTGTGGCAGTCAGCTCCTCACAGTCCCTTCTCCTGAAGTTCAGGTATCGCACTTGGAAGCATTAGCTGTTAGGGCGTTGCCAGCCTTGAGCTAGCCTTCTGTCTGTCCTTTATTTTATACTTCAGCTCCTTCTGTGTAAACATAACTGCTACAAGAACACACAGAGGCCAATGAAAAGTTTAGACTTGACCTACACAGGTGCACTGCAGGAACTCAAGCCTTAACCCTCAGTGACTATAAGCATAAATGTCTTCCCTAGTTTCTCTCTACAAATTAAATGGTATAGTAGTTACCTTTCAGGTGTTAACAAAATAGTTCATTCATAGCCACTTAATAAATGATTTATTGAAGTCTCATTTTATTATGACACTTGTTTTGGCATTGGTAGTTCATTAAGTATGTTCCTATAGCTTTTTACCTAGCAGTTCAGTACTGCTCAGCTAATTATTAATGCATGAAATTGAATATTAAATTGCCTCTTTATTAGTGCATTTTTAATTTGACTATTGAAAGCCCTGGGCTTCTTTTAGGTAAGATCAATTGCTATGCATTTTAAAAAACAGAATACTTGAGTGAAACTATTGTTTACTCACTACATTATCCTTTTCCCTCCCTTTTTTGTACTTTTAAATAGCCCTAAGGGCAAGCAAGACAATCTCACAAGCACCAGGCTTGAGTCTATCTCACCTGTAAAAACTGTGGACAGTCTCTCACACACGATTACCTTATAATACCAAGAGAAGTCTTTTCTACCTGAAAAATTGCACATGTACCTCCTGGGTGAGAAGGAAATGCCTGTCATTAACAAGTCAGTGAGTAGTAGGACCATCTATTGCTGCAAGTAAAATATGCCTGGGCAGGTAGCCCATTAACTTAAATTGACTGGCTAAGACCTCGCCTTTGTTAAAGGTAGCTTGGGGATACCCAGGGACTCCTGTGGGGATAGAGATGTCACACTCTAGAAAAGAGGTGTAAGAGTGAAGCCAAAGTTACTGAACACAAATTTTAAAATCAGACCTGGTCCTAGGCTAAGAAATTCTTAACCATTACAGGTATAATTGTCATGTTTTTAAAGTAAGCTTTTCTAAAAAAAAAAAAAATTATAAGTAATTAATATAAGTCAGTTGGATCCTAGAGCAATGCTACATAGTCCTTTCAGTACAACAGAGTGTTTCTTAAAGGATCTATGATGACATGTGAGGTGTGGGCATCTGCGAGAAAAGGAAAGTAAGATGGGAGAGGAGAGCAATACAGTGCAGAAGAATTTGCTCCGTGCTACTTGAGGCATATTTCAAGTTGCCACTTAAACTCCTTTTTCTCCATGAAAAGAGGTTTCATGGAATTAATTCGGTTCCTTAGCTCTGTGTTGACCATGGATTTCATTCAAACAATGACAGTTCTATAACAGAATCCTGTCTTGTCCCCCTC